ACGGCTGAAGAGCTGAGCCCAAAGGGTGGACCTTTTCTGGAACGGTGGCTTTGAGGGATGTCCTACATGCTCTCCTTTCGTTCCACTCTTGTTCCTACTTGCACAAGGGCATTAACTCTCCACCAACCCGAGCTGGAGGGGCAGCAGGGAATGGATGATTTGCCTCCACCGCCCTGGGGCCGTTGTCGCTTTTCCAAGAACATGGATGGGAGCAGAATTTAAGGAGGACTTTAAGGTCAGGAGGTGACCACACAGGGCCTACAGACTCCTCCACACAGCCCACTGACGTCCTTGTACGCCTCCTTTCCTACCCCCTAAATCCTTTCAGTGAGTCTTCTGTACATGCAGGACCTAATTTTTTGGATGCTTTTTGTGGGGAAGGCACGTCTGTACTGTACTTGAGTTGATTCAGAATGTGCAGTGTTGAGGTTTTTTTGTTTTTCTTTCGTGTGTATATTTTTGTTGCTGTGTGGTCACGTCCTGGTTGCCAGATTTGAGCGGTAACACACAGCATCGTGTCCTCATCTTGACACACGTTCTCACCGGTTGTCTGACTCGCATCTTTGTTAACAAGTCTTTCTTTTTGAAAGAGGGGGAAAAAAGTGTGTTGAAAGCCAATGCCATACTTGTCATTACTCTGCATAAATACAGATTGTATGGAAATCATGTGTACAAAATAAGCGCACATACTTTAGGACACACACTTTAGAAATGGCAATTGAACACAAGAGAGGACCGGTATGTATTTCTTGATTGAATGCGACCTGATGCACTGTGAGCTCAATGTGATGTGGGAGTTTGTTTGTCAAGAATAATACATGATTAAAAAAATATATTTAATGTAAAGTTAGTTACTATAAAACATTACTGAGGACATCTGTGTAACTTATATGAATGTATTGTCTTGCTATACTGGACATATCCAACCAATGCATTTTACTGTAAAGCAATAATGTGAAGAAAAAAATAAAATGACAAAAATAATTCGTGTACATTTGTCTCATAAGTTCTTGGATTGTTTGTGAAATGCGTAAATTAAATGAAGCCATTTGTACATATATCTGCCATTTTTGTTTTTCCCAGCATGCACTGTTTTAGGTTTAAAAGGGCACTGACTATTTTTACCCCATATTTTAGATGAAATCAATAGAGGAAGTGCTGTACTGAGTATTTCCATTTGATACTTGTAGACTACATGGTCTACCCCACTAAATGTATTTCACAGCTGAAGTTAGTAGATACTTTTCAGATTTCTAATTAAAAAAACCTGATTTTTGTCTGAGTATGCTTTGAGTACTTTAAGTGTAATTTATGCCCTAACCTTTAGTTTTTGGTCCAAAAACACTACATCCTACATTTCCCATAATGCAACTTTAGAAAGCTCCTTCCAGAGTCACAGAAGACCTCATAAAACTGTTTGGACAAGCTGTAAAGTGTTCCACGTGATGTATAAACTGAATTTAATATGTAAGGTGGAGCCTCCCTTTAACATTTTAGTTGTAGGACATTCTGCTTTATGTTTTGAAAATGTCACTAATTTATGATTTTAGAACAATTATCTCCCAACAATACTGTACTAAAAATAGTCTAAGAAAGTCACAACACTGGAGGAAAACTTCAGATATGCTGACTCGGAGCCAAATGACACGGTGCAGCTTTCACAGTTTTGATCTGAGCAGTTTAAAATGTGTAATATTTCATGGTAAAATGACCCTTAAGGTAAAATTAATGAGTTCCATGTACTCCTTACGGCTACTCCGTTGCACCAGCAGAGATTGAAGTCCAAGAAAAGTAGTTTGTCCCCTCAGAAACTCTAATATATTCTGTCCATATCACCCTGGTTTGATTGCGTCCTTTCTTTTTTTCCACGCTGCTGGCTGTGCTGTTCTTCTGTACAAAAACTCACTGATTTTTAATTAAAGTTCCTGCATCTTCCAATCACACAAGTATTCACACTCGGTCAATGCTTAAAGTAATACATTGCAAAAATACTTTTAATTTGTGGGATATGTGTGAGATTAGATAGCAAATAAATCACCTGTGGTTTGGTTGAAGCATCCCTGAAAAGAATACCTGAATGAATGAGTCCTATTGCAACAGCTTGTATTTCTCCCTGAGTGAATGATGAATAATTTATTGGTCCTTACTGGAAACTTGTCTTGTGTGATAATCAAGTTGAAGAGCACTGACAGGGTGATTGCAAACAATGTTATTTATGGTGACGGCAGGCAACATGTGAAGAGTCCATTGAGTGATGGGAAAATTCATGTTTTGATTGCATCTTGTCTCCATCAATCTAGATTTTTGTTTTGTATTTTCAGCACCAGCAGGGGGCAGTGTTGCAACAGGATTCAATGTCACAGAGAAACTTTGTAACTGGCTCAGTATGACATGAAAAATGGAGCTCCTTTTACCCAAGTGAATAAGACTCTGGCAGTCTGAGATGAAGTTTCAAATATCAAAATGTGGCAAAGTCAAACCATGACTGGAATGAGTGTGTTCTGTATGATTCCCTGCACATAAAACATACTGCGAATCATTTGTTGATGATGGATGTCCACATTCTTCATCAGCCAGCAGACAAGGTGGCCATCTGGTGAGACCAGCATGGCACGAGCCGGCTACTGGGGCTTCTCCCTAATGACCCACCGCCTTGGCTACCGTGCTGCAGTTAACAAGCATCCCTGTCAGCCCTGAGCTTGTGCACTGATGAGTTCCTTCTCTGCCCCCTAACAAGCCCGTTTGGGCAGCTACTGCGTGTCTCCCGTGACCGCCGGCTTAGTTCCCCTCCACCATTTGCTGTGCCACATTTAGAGACAAGGCTCACGCATCCCGGCCTCCACATATACAGCACCGTAATCCTGCTTTGGAAAGTTATTTATCTGTTCACCCACCGCCCCCGCAGTTACAGTTTGGGGACATTTTCTTTCCTTGTTTTGTGCCTTGCCAGTATTTTTCTGACTCCACTCTGCAGTTTGGGTAAATTGCTGTGCTGCAATGATGGATGGTGAACAAACTGGGTTGCTGCTGCTTGCTGCAGTCCCACGTGAAGGCATCCTGTGCTGCTGAACATAAGGTGTTGTGGGTCGCCCCTGTTTTCTTAACTACTGGTTTGTTTGGCTTTCTATGGTGAGCTCTGACTGTGCTTTTTTTGTTTTAACGAGTGAGTTCAAATGATAAAAACAAACATTTACTATATTTATTTGTTTATCCATGGGGACAGTTTGGGTTTTGAGATATTGTCTCATATATATTCTGCCTCATACAAATTCAATGGAAGTAAATTGAATTTTATTGTGGGGCTCACAGGAATGACAAAAACATTAAAAGAAATCTCTTCCCAGAAACAATGTCCCGGTTGCTGAAGATAATCCACAGACCTCGACGTGAATATTTTTTACTTAAAAAAAAATCTTGATAACAACTGTTGACAGAAAGTGTTTTGGATTTTTTTTAGAACGGCTCTAATCTCTCGTCTACAAAAGTTTTCTATCTCCCTTTCTGACGTTTAACCCCCGAAGGTCTGGGAAATAGTAATAATAATTTGACTTGTAGCCCCTTAAAAATGAAGCAATGTCTCCTTGCCAACGCTTATCACAGATTGCAATTGTCAGTAGAAGGTGGTCAGTTCAACCACAGAGTGATTTTGCCCTCAAAAATGTTTTCGGTGCATTAAGATGTAAATAGTTAATGATAATTAATGATCAAAAAACGGTGATTCCAGAAATGTCAAAATTCTGAAGACAAAATGAGTGATTCACATTCAAATTTGAATAACCGTGGATGGTATGTTGTTGGGCTGGACTTTTAGTAATTCATTTTATTACAAGTGTCAATGGGATTTTGAATTGGATAGTCCCTCTGGAGCAGAACCCACAACTAGAATTACTCTTTCTTTTTAGATTGTTGTGACCATTTAGTTCATGATGCTTTTCAAAGTACAGCATTCAAAACGGACACAGCATATCAATAACACTTCAAAGGCAATTTTGTGAACCGTAATGATCTCGTTAAGCTGCTTCTTTATATTGGATTTCTTTTGACACCCAGGTACTCTTTTCCAGTAGTGTCTCACCTGTCTTCTTTTTGTTCAAAAATCCACTGGCTGAGTCGATTTAAAGTCTGTAAGCTAACAGTCCACACTCCGTAAGTGGCACACATCTTTCTCCATTACCACCATGTGACCTTTCCCTGGTATTTAAACCAACTTTATAACAAGATAGAATTATAATAAACTGAATAATGATGAGGACAATGACATTATCAGAGCTGTAACCCGTGGTCGCTGGCTGTTGTAGGCCTTTTTCTTTAGCAACTCAGCCAAAACGAAGCCACTTTTTTAAATAGCACAGAAATCAAGTCATAAACTCAGAGGACAGTCAGCTTTTTTCATATCTAACAGCAGGACGCTGGACCAGGATGCCCGCTCAGCTTTCATTTATGCTTATCTGTTTATGGCAGTCCCCCCACAGCCTGTTCCCGCGTGCATTGTGGCTCAGTGATTAATCCATTCTGCACACGCTGTACACTTCATGAAGATAACACAATACCTTCTTATCTAGCTATGTATGAATATTAAGTAGTCAGCCCTGTTGAAGGTAACAGTGTGCAATGGAGACTGATATAGTTTTGATAAGACCATCTAGAAAACTCAAGTAATGGTGAGTCATGCAACGAGCCCTTTCATCAAGGTTATAGTTTGGATAGTGTGCCATAGATCACTGAGTGCTGTGGACTTTTGTTCGGCTAATCCACAGACATCCATCATTACGAGAACAAATTTGTGTCGGAGAGAGTCCAGGGTTTGTTTGTAGCATTTGTAGCTTTATTGTAGCATGAAATATAGATTCACACTCAGAATCAAATCTAAGTTTAAATTAAAACAGCTAAACTGACTCAGATGCATTGCTTGGTATTCAGGGGAAAGCAGGATTATAATTCATTGTATTGTTATCCATAATTAAAATGGGAAGTTTCCTCAATTAGTGAATAACATTTAAAAGATAAAGCTGTCAAAGGATGATTAAAATGAAATCATTACTATTTCCTGGGCCTAATCGTGGGTGTGTTTTGCTGTGTCGTTTTTCTTTCTTGACAGTTAAGTTGTTGATCGCATTTGGATGTTTTGAAATATTTCTGTATGGCAAACAATCAGTATTCATTTAATTATATTTTACTTTTAATACTACTACTCATCTTTTCTTGTGTTTTTGTTTGCATATACTTTAGCTTTAAGTAAGCTAGGTGTGATTAATAGTGTTACACACATACATATAAATATTAAAGTCGATAAATCCGATAACAAATCATAAAAAAGACGCTCCTTGTAATTATGGAACTTGCCTGAGATTTATCACGTTTTTAAGTTTTATTCAGTATCGAAGTAATCCAGTGATAGCTGTCTGCTTATCCGTGGGAAAATTGCAATCAGAAACCGCTAATAGCTGATTTGGCATACTTCTAATCGCGCTTATTTGACAAAATGTAAAACAAATTAAGCCTTTAAAAATAAGTTGTCGACAGCTCTCTCTCTCACCGTGGAGTGATTATACTTCCTGTTTGATGTTGGGTCTTCTAGACCCACAGTGTCAGACTTTAAAACCCCTGACCTGGGGTAAGACTGCAGAAATTATCATGGAGAGCTTAGAATATGCAACTATTTATGGCTGCAGAAATGTCATCATTAGGCCTACTAACTTTTGGCAAGATGTTTATTGTTCGTTGACCAAGCTTTCATTGGGCAATAAATGTGTTTTATGATAGAGCCACAGTCAGACAATTATTTTCACATAGATTACAGTGAGCAGGGGGTAGTGCAGGGTGAAGCTGCGTGTGTAGCCAATAAAACTATTAAGGCGTGAGAACCAACTTGTGTGAAGCAAAGAGAGCAGCTAAATGGACAAAAGCCTACAAGTCAGCAAATCCAAAGGTGGTCAAGAGAGAGTCTTTAAATCTGGAAACAGCTCCCTCATCTGATTGCTTCTGATTTAATTTAGCAGAGACTAAGTGCTTCAGGAAGTCATAGATACACAGTAAATCAGAGGCCGGGAGAGAAAAAGGCGCCTTTACCGAGTTATTACATATGGAGAGAGCACAATTACATTCCTGATGCACGTGCCTGGTGATTTATGGATGAGTCTCTCTCTCAGAGGGTCTCTGGAAAGGTGATCTGTTCCAGAGGCAGCCACAGGTAATTTATTCTAGTCCCAAGTTTGCCATTTACTTTCTCCCCTTCAACCACTTGCGCAGGCAAGATTCATTCAAACAATCGTGGCATTATGCTCAAAGCCTAGCAATGAGCCGTGATCCAGACCACAGCAAAGATTTGGTCTCAGTCACGGACATAAAGGCTCTAAATAGTACCAAGGACCGGTTCTGTGGCTCTTATTCATACTGGGGAAACAGTTTCAATTAAATACCGAACCTGGTTCTCCATTCCCATTCTTTATAAATATACATTTTGCTGAGTCTACTGTTTCGACAGCCTAAGAGAGATTTAATAATGTGAGTTGCAGCAGAGAGCCAACCAGGCCATACTTAAACTCCACTATCTCAGACGTTTTGTCACCTCGCAATGCTGCTTTTAGCTCTGTCAGAGTTCAAGATAATACCGGCGTCATTTCAACATTTAGACTTACAGCCATTTTACGTTGAAGAAATCATTTTGTGGTGCACGAGGTGTGTAATTAGATTTTTAAAAAAAACAATCTACTTGTTTATGTTGCACGGTGTCATTAACTTTAGCTGTCCTCGCTAACAAGTCCACTCTAAATATAGAGACCTGGATATGACAACAAAGAGTGCAAGCCAAGGTGACAAGATCTTGAAGGATTATTTAATGGGGGACAGTTGATGATATCACTTCCGGTGGGTGGCGGATGATTGGCAGCAAACAGTGAAATGCAATATCAATGTGTATTAATGTGAAACAAAGCAAACAGCAACCGATGGCATCCTTTTAGTCCAACAGCATATTATGTAATGATGTGACAGTGATGGGTTTGAGACTGACCATACACTTCTGTCAAATGTCAACGAACGTGGGTCTTATGTTGCAGTTTTGTCCATTGTTTCTATTGGTTATGAGAAATACTCATTTCAGTAATTGCTGATATCTGATAATATGGCAACATTTCAACAACAAAAGAAACAAATGTCTTCAGATGATCAAGCTGGTTGCAAACAAGCCAAAATACAAAGTGTGAACCACTTTAATTGGAGGTAAAAACTGAAAGTGATTGCAACCAAAATGTCAGGAATAATCTTTCATTGCACAGGAAAAAAACATACGCTTGTGCTACGGTTAGTGTGGTTGGTCAAGGTTGAACCAGTGGTCTGTAAACTATGATGGATGTTTAACACAATGGACTGTCTGGGTAAGAGTGGGAATAGTTTACATGAGCTAGTGCGAAGAATGAAGTGCAGCACATAATCCTACACAGCAGCTAGATAGGATGCTACAGATTCCATCCGTATGTAAATATTAATCCCTTTGTTAAATTTCTCTCCCGGTATCCCCGTCCTCCTTTTTCCTCACGTCCCAGTAGGATCGGAGAAAAGTTCAACTACTCCAGGAATTCAGAGATGTACAGAATTAATTATTCTCAACAGTAGAATTATCTCTTGTCATAAAGTCCACGCCAGAATTTCACTGGACATGCGGATCAGCACATTTAGGGTCAAAGTTTAATTAAATTGAACTTTTGCCACAAAACCTGGCATAAAATCAGGCCAGTACAAGTTTGGAAACAATGTCAATGCTCTGCTTAGTGTTGCACTGATGTTAAAAGATATATTTTTACCGTTCGCCGTTGTTTTCTTGGCTTTAGTCTGTCTGTGGCTTTGGTTTGAAAGCTGCATGATCGTCTGACCACGTGTTTTTTTGCTGTGATCTCTTTTTAGTGATGTCACCATGTTGCAAGATCTCAAAAAAAATCACTTGGTGAGTACAATGTGTATAATTACCGACAGGAATCACGGCCAAAAACTATGAACCGGAATGATCCTGAACAGCCCGAATTCAGGAATTATCTAGAAATAATAATCTATTTATTGTGTTGTGTCACTCTCAGCTGTTGTTAGTTATTTCATATGTCAGTTATTAGGCCTCATGGTGCAGAGTTACTGTAAGACAGGAGCTGAACTGAAAAACAGATAACCAGGATGAACTGGATGTGCCCGGAGAGACATGCCTCAGAAATACTTAACACTGCACCACCAGCAAGAACATTTTATATCTTTTTCCAATATAGATTCCAAGAGAGGAGACTGGCAGTTTGTGCAGATACTGTAAGCCCCAAACTGATCCTGCTCAGTCAGTTTAAACGGCCGCTTGTTTGATGAGCTTGAAGCAACAATATCATGGGGCGTGACCACTTCATTGTGCATACTTAGTTTCTTGCAGTGCTGTAACTTTTTGAGTCTTCCTCTCTGTGTGTTTAGCATATTTTGCAAATATACTGCAACTTGGGTCTTGAGGCAATTTGCCAACTAAGCACATTTTTTAATTACAATAATATTAAGCTGTTGGAATAGCTGTCTTTGCTTTGCTGAGAATAATTGGCGGTGAAGTGAGCAAACGTACTTGTGTCATTACTCTGTCTGTAGTGTGGCTTTACCCCTGCAAATTAGGAGAGCTTAAATTAATAATAGCTTTAATGGTAAAAATGCAATGCAGTCATATAATATCCTGTACCTTTGTGAATCATATTATGACTGACGTTTGTTCTGGTCTTTGCAGTCCAGTCAGTTTGATTTTGCTCCAATTGTTCAAATAGACAGCTTTGAACAATTTTGAGACCCATGAGTGAAATCAGAATCTTTTTAAAAAATGCCCTATATTTTGCTTGAAAAGTAAAAAAAAAAAACACTCTGCAGCCGACGGTTAATGCTGATGGCGTGTGTCTCTGTAAGCTGAGATCAGCAGGTAACCTTACGACAGTAAAGTGACAGACTGTCCTCGTGTGGCTGACTTCTCCATCTCCCACCACAACACTTCAGTCAACGAAACTCTCTATGGAAACAATAAAGAGTGCTGGGAAGAAAAAGGGGAGAAATTATGAAAGAAAAAGGTTTATACATTTTTTATCACATTTGCATGGCTGTCCAACAAAGTAGAGAAGCTCTGATTACAACACACAGAGGAAAGTGACTTCCTTCTCTACTCAAGGAGACATTGCTCTACTTTATCTCTACATAGCAACTATTCTCTTGCTGCTAAATAAATGCTCTGAATGTGGTATAGAGAACCTTTCATTTGGCTAAGAATATTAGATACTTACTAAAAACAATTTGGAAAAAGAAACCAAGCTCTCATCATTATTCTTTTATACATACTTTTATTAAAACATCATTGGCCTCCAACAAGGAAAGAATGTACATAATAATCATAATCATAATAATAATAATAATTAACTGAATAACATCAGAAAAAGTATTTTTCTGTTTGTGTGTTATAGTATTTATGCTTTATCTTTTGTCAATTCTTCAGTGAGGCGCTCCCTGTAGACTCTCTGCATTCTCTGACTTCAAGGCTTCAGCTAGTTTTAGAGGAATGTACAGTACAGGAAAACAAAACACATCTTACCCCCATCATATTATAACTTCTTTTTTTTCTGACGTCACTACATATTTTGTATCATTTGCTATTCATCACACACATCAACCACTCACATCTGTTCCAAAACGATTTCAAATAACCTGCACCTCCTGCGGTGAACATGGACATGTACGCTTGCCGGGCACACATACTCTGCAGACTGGTGTGCGTGTGCACGTAGACAGCTCTGGACTATACCGCCCACGCTCGGATGCCTGCAGTGGGAGGTATAGTGCTGAGCTCTGGTGCTTTAATCAGACCTTTGGCCGTAAAGTGTCACACTGACCGGCTTCCACAGAGCTCTTTTCTCAGCGGAACCAAAGACAGGAGGAAAAAGCATTCGTCTGCCACCGACCTTGCTCTAGAGCAGCACAGATAGCCGCCCATGACTGACCCGTGTCACTCTCCGCATCTCCTCTCCATCAGAGCTTCACGCTGAGTGGTCCGTCCTTTGGTGCTGGAATTGAAAGGAAATGCCACAGATGCACTGTTGAAAAAAAAAAAAAAAGTGACCTTTTTAAAAAATACAAGATGCTCACCGAGGCGGGACCAACTGTCCGTTTTTACACAACATAATGTCACCGGGCTTTGCACTGTGGAGATTGTCTCTAATAAAAGTTTGAACTTTTAAAACTTCTGAAACAATTAAAAACACAATGGCACGATAAAAACCTTTTTGACTCGATTTCAAAGTCTGCACGCTGCACTCAGAGTCAAGTGTAGGTTTACAGTATGTTCTGACAGGCAGGTGATGCTGAAAATCTCTTTTATGGTTTCACAGCAGTTCATGTGGGCTTGACAAGTGCCGAGTATCATCCTGTCATGCAGCTGATGTCTCTATCTACCTCCACTGCTGGAGCTTTCATAAAAAGCAGTCAGTCTCTAATGGCGCTCAGTCCACCGCTGGCTGGTCATGTGTCAATGACATCCTGTACCGGCGAAGGTTCGTGTGGCAAACTAGTGGCGTTGGGCAGCGGCTGCGTGTGGCTGTTCTGCTGCAGCTCTAGTGCCATGGCGTTCTGCGGGTGGGGGAACTCCTTCACCTGCCTGCGGTACTCCAGGAAGGTGGACGCCTTGGTGGCGATCGCGACCACGTTCTTTCCGACGAAGATGGTGGAGACGCGGCTGTCCTGAAACAGCACCATGTTCACGCCTCGTATGAGGATGGTCACCACGTTTATGGTGACCAAGCTCAGAACCGGGTACAGCATCATCTTCTGGGGCGACATGTGCTCCCCTTGCATGCTGATCTCGCTGAGCGACACGCAGGGCAGGATGAGCAGCAGGATGTAGCAGTAGAAGAACATCAGGCCCTCGGCCCAGATGGGCAGGCCTGTCCGCTGGGGCTCCCACAGGTTGGCTTGGATGTCCAGCAGGTCCAGCAGGTCCAGAGCCACCCAGAATAGACGACTCCTCATGTCCTCCTTCTTACGGAAAGTTCTCACGTATTCCATACTATCCAGAGCCACGAGAACCAAGTATAAGCCTGGCACACATACAGATAGTAACAACGTCAAAGCCTTCCGGGCCACCGTCTCCAAACTCTTCCTGTCTGCCTTGCAATTCTGGAAGACAAAGTAGAGCTTGATCTCCAGGACAAAGATGTACAGAAACCAGAGGATCATGGCGTATCCTCGCCGGGCGGTGCGCACCTCGGCGCCGACCCACACTGCCACGTATCGCAGCACTATGAGGAAGCATACGTCCCCTACCAGCACTATAATACACACACCGATCTTTCTGGGACCCTGGTTCTGCTCCACCAAGTAGGCGTCCATGAAGGCCATGCTGGTCATAATGACGATGGTGGTCAGGCACACGTGGCGTTTGTCTGGGGGTGGCAACACCATGGCGAGGGCACCTGCTGGCTCTCACTCTCAGTTCCCAGCTTTTAAAAGCAAAACAAAATAGTCCAGAAGGTAAAGACGGCACCGTGTCCTCTCCAAACCTTTACGGCTGGAGGAAAAAAATAAATGTATTTAAGGTGGTCTGACAGCTCTGACTCGTGTGTCTAATATTAGAACAGCACTATAAGTCGCTGCACTAATAGTCCATAGAGGAGGACGCTTATTGCAATGTAGAAGCAGAGCAGTGTGTGGAGTCAGTGGAGAGATGCTGGCTGCTGATTGCTCTCAGGCCATGTGAAAACAGGAACATCACCTCGTTACTCAACGCACTTCCATTGATCCGCCTCGGCCCCCCCGGCGTTGCAGCTAGAACCAACGGCTCTACGGCTGACACGCCATGACTGATAGTCATCCACACACAGTCAAACGGAGAATACTCTTGGAGCCGGCTCGGTCTAATGCACATGCGATGGGATTGCGGGACACGGTGCTGCAGTGTAGAAATGTTTATGGAGGGCTTTATTTCTGTACGCGACGGCGCAGGAAGCAGGAGTTGTATGCGCGCCCGTGCTGCAGCTCAGCATGTGCGAGGAATTCCTCTTCGGATACTCCTGCAGACGGTGGTGCAGTGTGTGTGGCTCCTTGCAATCCTGCAGTGTGTGTGAAGGGAAGCGGAGGAGAGAGAGGAAAGGAGTCTGCAGTGGCCGGAGGCCTCCAGCCGCCATAAATCACAGAGACAGTAGGTCAACGGCCCATGAGGCCTTGCGTCCGACGCCAGCTTCCCTGGGGGGAGGCTCTTACATCGGTTTGAAGATCCATCCTTCCCTCCTCCTCTTGCCACGTGCCAGCCTCTCCACAGCCTAGAAGAGAGGAGAAGAGGGGGGAGGGCAGAGGAAAAGGGAGAAAGAAACCTGTCAGCACTACTGGGCCATATAACACAGTTTTCATTGCCAACGGGCCACCACATATGAGGAGCCAAGCAATGTGTCAGCTTGGCTTAAATGTAGCCTGTTTCACTATCGATAGGGCAGAGTATATTGCACATGTATAAGACTAAGTCTGCTTCAGGATGTCATTACCTCTCTATGGTCTGTGATGTGTTACAAGACATCTGGATGCATAGCTAATATGCTTCGATGGTTATTATAGTCAGCATATCTGGGACCATAATACCCAGTAGTTTAATTTTGGGAGTTGGATTACTCCCAAAACTTGTAGTCTCATATTGTAGCTAACTGCTCGGCACCTCTTTTTCTTTTTACTGCATTACTTGCCAATACATTTTCTTCTAATTAAATGGGGAAAACGATGACAAAGGGTTAATTTCTGGCACATTTTGAGTCACTCTGAACACACTTCTAAACTGAAACTAGGATATTGTGATTGCAGTATGTATGCAGTAGATATTTCCCCGGAGGATTATTAGGTAGTGTTTTTCATGGAGTATCCATGGAGACCACATTTCAGCTATCTAAAACATGTCAAACTAAATTGATAATTACATTCCTCATGCTTTATTTTGCCTTCAATTCAAGCTGTACAGTCTATTTTGGCTGGATGATGGTTCAAGGTGTTCCTGTTTTGACCTGTTTAATATTCCAGCGGACGTGTTTGTCGAAGCGTCTGACGGGTTGGGTCAGGGGGGGGGGGGGGGGGGGGGGG